AACCAGTCTTTGGCCAAAATATGAAACTTTTAGCCCTATGTTTTAGATTTCCAACGCCACTAAAAACACCTCAATCGAACTTCGGTATCCTGAGTTATTGTCATTTACGTATAGCGCGGTTAACTGACTTGTTTGTGAGATTCTGGTTCGTTAATTCGAAATTTTGACCTAGATATACTAGAAACTGGACTAAGTGGTTTTCATCAAAATTGTAGCCCTCTATCTTAGCTTTGAAATGGTATAATTTTCACCTCAATCCTATAAGCGTAGCCTCGATTGTGTCCGTTATGCAAAACAACGTCAAATCTGTCTTTTGTTTCTTGACACAAACTTCATTTCCGCACATGTTCCTAGCTTGATTTTGTACTTGTATGACTTTGAGCCTATGGAATGGCTATTGAAATGAGATTATTTTGTGTGTGACTTTGGGACTGATTGAGGAAAAGAATGAAGCCATAAAGGGCTGGAAAAGAATGAAGCCATAAAGGGCTGGAAAATAGGTAAATACAAAGGGCGTGCTGCCCAAATTTACGCTCGAAGACTAGGTAGATATACTTGCGACTTGAGTAATGCTTGAAAGCGAATACCATGTGAACCATCTAGGATATTTGCATCTTCTTTTATCGAGGTATATAAGTTAGAATTTGGCCGAACTTGTACCCTTGAGAAAATGGAAATAACGACTACTTGAAATATGTTTTTCTCGTTCTTTCAACTCCAATGGGAGTTCTAAAGTTTTAACCACTTCCTTACCGAAACTAAACGAGCGAGCATGAATTTTCCGGGGTTGGATAAGTATCTTGAATACAACATAACGAGTTGCATTTACTTAATTTTTTTGAAGCGAAACTACTATGTTTCGAACTCTAGAAAGGTTTACATTCGTAAATGATATTTTATCGCAGATTTGTACCCCAACCAAGGAGTTGGACCAGAACGTGATTTTTGAGAGGCATTAGACTTTTGGTGAGTGCTTCCAAATACCTGATTGAACTGGACACTTGTTTTCAATACTTGACCAATGTGATTTAATGATATGTAATTTGTTTGATCGGGCAAGAGTGTACTTTATCGCACTTGCCGTAATATGATATATACTTGTTTATTGTTGCAATTGACTTGATATACTTGTACTTGACTTGTAAGTACTGAGCGGCAGCATGTACCACACTCAATGTGAGTGGGAGGTACCTCTCATTCCTGTATCCGTACTTTTATTTTGATTTAGTCGATTGGAGATGATATCTCATTGACTTCTTGGGGGCCCAAACCCCACTGGCTAGTTAATCGAGTTGAACCAGCAAGGGTTTGGTCGATTAGATAACGAACCATAGGTATCTAGTGTTGTCGAGTGAAGTGTTATCTCCTCGACTAATCGGTATACTTGAGTATTGGGGGTTGAATGGTGGACGGATTGGAGTTAAGCGAAGTACTACTGGATTGGTTACTTTACGTGAAAGTTGACGGAGTGTCAACTAATACTTGATCAAGCTCTGGTGAAGCAACGAGAATCTGGCTCTTGAGAGCCATCTGTATCCTTATACTTTGATTGTTATTCGTAGTGTTATTGTGTCTTTTAGAAAAAGAATTTTACACTCATTCATTTTGAAATTGGCTGCTTGAAGTGTATTGTTCACTTTTATGAACTTGTTATGCTCACACTTTTGCTACGTTGATACTTGTACTTTTATATAATGGTTAATTTGCTATTTGGAAGCTCACTGGGCTTCTAGCTCATTCCACGCCATTTGTTTTCCTAACAGGGGGTACGAGCGAGGCGTGAGACTTGTACAGACTAGCGTAGTCTAGATGTTTTGACTTTTGAATTGTACTCGCGCTATCACTCGATTAGGATGATTTGTACTTGGATTGTATATATTTTAAAATATTTTGGGTGTATAGAAACTTTGTATCTTGAGTTGTGCATCGATGTATGTTGTAAGTTTGAATTGCGATGTTATTTATTGTCTATGAATGTATGCGTGAGATACGAGAGAGTGAGTCCTGACGAGAGTTGGGCAGGCGACTCGCTAAACCCTAGAATTCGCCCTAGGAGGAGGTGGGGCCGTCACAAACATGATCAGATATTTTTTTTCTTCAAATAAAAATTCAAGTATTTCCTGATCTTCCGTACTTTCTTGAAATGAGTTAAATCAATTTAGTATTATTGGAATTATTCAAGGGTTCGTCTTGAACATAGTCAAACACTCGAGATTTGAAACCTTACTGCATTCATTCATTTAACGAGGTATGGTCGACAGATAAATTATATGCAACTCGATCGGATGTCTAAAATGGAAGAAAAGGTTAGGAGTGCATTTGGATCATTGTTTACAATACTTTTGGCGTTACATTACTCGTTGCTGAGCTAGTAATTGGTGGGTTTGATGATAGAGCACTTGTTAGATATGAATTTATAGAGTAAAGGTGCAAATTTCAGAATTTGGAAACCAAGCTACCCTGTTCTGCCCGATTTTGGTTGACCATGATGGAGGCTGAATTAGGCTTAGTACAAAACATGAAAGTTTTATCGAATGATGTTTTTTAGTTTCTTGCAAAATTTGAGCCCAATCCGAGTACTGTAGCTCATGAAAAGACAAAATACCCCTGAGACTGCCCTAGGTAGAGTCCAGCAGACAGTTTTGACATTTCCTCATGTTGGCTGCGTTTTTTACCTTGATCCATACCAAACCAGTCTTTTGCCAAAACATGAAACTTTTAGCCCTATGTTTTACTTTCCAACGCCACTGAAAACACCTCAATCGGACTTCGGTATCCTGAGTTATTGTCGTTTACGTGTAGCGTGGTTAACTGACCTGTTTGTGAGATTCTGGTTCGGTAATTCGAAATTTTGACCTAGATACACTAGAAACTGGACTATGTGGTCTTCATCAAAATTGTAGCCCTCTATATTAGCTTCGAAACGGTATAAGTTGAACCTCAATCCGATAAGTGTAGCCTCGGTTGTGTCCGTTACGCAAAACAACGTCAAATCTGTCTTTTGTTTCTTGACGCAAACTTCATTTCCGCACATGTTCCTAACTTGATTTTGTACTTGTATGACTTTGAGCCTATGGATTGGCTATTGAAATAAGATTATTTGGTGTGTGACTTTGGGACTAATTGAGGAAAAGAATGAAGCCATAAAGGGCAGGAAAATAGGTAAATACAAAGGGCGTGCTGCCCAAATTTACGCTCGAAAACTAGGTAGATATACTTGCGACTTGAGTAAGGTTTGAGAGCGAATACCACGTGAACCATCTAGGATATTTGCGTCTTCTTTTATCGAGGTATATAAGTTAGAACTTGTCCAAACTTGTATCCTTGAGAAAATGGAAATAACGACTACTTGAAATATGTTTTCCTCGTTCTTTCAACTCCAATGGGAGTTCTAAAGTTTTAACCGCTTCCTTACCGAAACTAAACGAGCGAGCATGAATTTTCCGGGATTTGATAAGTATCTTGAATACTATATAACGAGTTGCATTTACTTAATTTTTTTGAAGCGAAACTCCTATGTTTTGAACTCTAGAAAGGTTTACATTCGTAAATGATATTTTATCGCAGATTTGGACTCCAACCAAGGAGTTGGACCAGAACGTGATTTTTGAGAGGTATTAGACTTTTGGTGAGTGCTTCCAAATATCTGATTAAACTGGACACTTGTTTTCAATACTTGACCAATGTGATTTAATGATATGTAATTTGTTTGATCAGGCAATAGTGTACTTTATCGCACTTGCCCTAATATGATATATACTTGTTTATTGTTGCAATTGACTTGATATACTTGTACTTGACTTGGAAGTGCTGAGCGGCAGCAAGTACCACACTCAATGTGAGTGAGAGGTACCTCTCATTCCCGTCTCCGTACTTTTATTTTGATTTAGTCGATTGGAAATGATATCTCATTGACTTCTTGGGGGCTCAAACCCCACTGGCTAGTTAATCGAGTTGAGCCGGCAAGGGTTTGATCGATTAGATAACGAACCATAGGTATCTAGTGTTGTCGAGTGGAGTGTTATCTCCTCGACTAATTGGTATATTCGAGTATTACCACCAGTGTTTAGTTGGTGTTCGGACCCAGTAAGGGGGTTGAATGGTGGACGGATTGGAGTTAAGCGAAGTACTACTGGATTGGTTACTTTACGTGAAAGTTGACGGAGTGTCAACTAATACTTGATCAAGCTCTGGTGAAGCAACGAGAATCTGGCTCTTGAGAGCCATCTGTATCCTTATACTTTGATTGTTATTCGTAGTGTTATTGTGTCTTTTAGAAAAAGAATTTTACACTCATTCATTTTGAAATTGGCTGCTTGAAGTGTATTGTTCACTTTTATGAACTTGTTATATTCGCACTTTTGCTACGTTGATACTTGTACTTTTATATAATGGTTAACTTGCTATTTGGAACCTCACTGGGCTTCTAATTCATTCCACGCCATTTGTTTTCCTTACAGGGGTTACGAGCGAGACGTGAGACTTGTATAGACTAGTGTAGTCTAGATGTTTTGACTTTTGAATTGTACTCGCGCTATCACTCGATTAGGATGATTTGTACTTGGATTGTATATACTTTAAAATATTTTGGGTGTATAGAAGCTTTGTATCTTGAATTGTGCATCGATGTATGTTTCAAGTTTGAATTGCGATGTTATTTATTGTCTATGGATGTATGCATGAGATACGAAAGAGTGAGTCTTGGCGAGAGTTGGGCAGGCGACTCGCTAAACCCTAGGATTCGCCCTAGGGGGAGGTGGGCCGCCACAGACGTGATCAGATATTTTTTTTTTTCAAATAAAAATTCAAGTATTTCCTGATCTTCCGTACTTTCTTGAAATGAGTTAAATCAATTTAGGATTTTTGGAATTATTCAAGGGTTGGTCTTGAACATAGTCAAACACTCGAGATGTGAAGCCTTATTGCATTCATTCATTTAACAAGTTATGGTCGACTGATAAATTATATGCAACTCGATCAGATGTCTAAAATGCAAGAAAAGGTTAGGAGTGCATTGGATCATTGTTTACAATACTTTTGGCGTTACATTACCCATTGCACCATGTATTAAAGTGATATATGTCTTGTCAACTATTATCCACAAATAGTTTGGGACTGTTGGAGGACATATATTCATTTATAATACTTGTTACCCTAATACAATCAAAGTATTTAAAAACTAAACTTGCTCAACATAAAGCTGAAGTAATTTATTAGGTGGAAGATTTTGAAAATCCACAAGGAAAGAGGTGTCCTAGTTTTAAGTCTTCTTCTAATAAAAGCTTGTAAATTGGCATATGTGGGAATGAGCTGCATGACTTGAAGCAAGATGTAAATCTCTGAACCGAAACAAAAACAAGAAGCAATAGCATGTGTCCACGACAACTAGTTTAACAACCAGCTTGCTTCATTTCTGATGTAGTTTGGCCTGAGCCGCAGCATTCATCATGGAAGGATTAACAACGCTGAAACCTCCGTCAACTACAAGATTCAGTCCACTTACATAACCAGCTTCATCGCTTGCCAAGTACAGTGCAGCTTGAGCAACATCATCTGCTGTCAAAGTCTTCCCTTTAAGATTAGCCACTGCATTTACAAACATCTGCATTTGTGCAATATACTCTTCAGAATAATTCCCTCCTGCTATGCCAGTCATTGCGGCATAAGGGGAGACACAGTTGACTCGTATACCATGTTGACCAAGCTCAGCTGACAAATTTTTAGCTAGACCTGCAATTGCATGCTTAGTGACTGCATAGGCATGAGGTCCAAGACCAGCTATATTGACGGAGGCGCTGGCTGTGAACAATACGCATCCCCTGCGCTGGGGTATCATGACTCTTGCAGCATGCTTGGCTCCTAAAAATGAGCCCACCAAATTTACACCAATAACCCGGTCCAAATCTGACTTTGACGTTTGCAGAATAGCAATTTTGGACCCTTCAGTGATTCCAGCATTGTTGTACATGATGTCAAGTTGGCCGTATTTGGCTATGGTGGTATCGATAAGATCAATAATTTGGTCCTCTTGTGATACATCACAGTGAATGTAGCATGCATTTTTGCCAAGCTCCTTGGCAATTGCTTGGCCTAGATTGTCTTGGATATCGGCTACTACAACTTTAGCACCATTGCTATGAAAGAGCCGAGCCGCAGCTGCTCCTATACCGCTGGCACCTCCGGTGATAATTGCCACCTTACCATCTAGCCTGAAAGAAGTGCCAAAATGGAACTTAGATGCAGAGGTAATATGAAATTATGAACAGCTACAGGTGATTTTTTTTAGCTTCATAACCAAAACTAGCCAACATAGATGAGAAAATACTGAAACATAAACAGATAAAATTGACACAACAATTATCTATCTTTACGCTTTTTAAAATGAAATCATTTTCTCGCCTAGTTCATTTGATGTCCTCCGTATTACAATGAAAAGTTCTTGTCAAACCTATTTAATTTCAAAAAAGATTTTAAAAATCCTTTTATACCCGCAAGAGTCATTGTTGTAGAAATTAGTATCATTTTGTCATTCTCAAACCTTTATTTAGCAATCTAAATGTTCTTTAACATTTCTATACAGTCAAATTAAGCTAAAATACTAACCTTTTACTGGAGGAAGCAACTCTAGGGTTAGAGCTCATCTTATTGATCCTAAACCAATGTACAGAATACAGGTACCCTGCCGCAACTATGAAAAACAATTTTTGAGGAGCAATTTTTCGTGCCTCTGCAGCTTTTTCTATCAGGGGAAAGGGTTTTATAGAGAAAAACAGTGTAACAATGCTTTGGTTAATTAATTGATTACCTTTTTAGCTTGGACCATATTTACCAAATCCAAGGATAATATAGGTTAGGGTTTGGCAATCAAATTAATAAGAGACGGAAGACTTTTGGTTTTCGTCATTACTAGACTTAAAGGCACTTCGAAGCAGAGCAATACATTAAATAATTGCGGCTGGAAAACTAGGAATAAGAGGCAGAGCGACCTTGAACTCTACCATGAACTTGTGCAATAGGACATGCTACAATTCTGAAAATTAAAACTGTAAGTTTAAACATATCCTTTAAAATTAAAACTATTCAGAACATAGTTTATCACTGCTAATATTTGTTATACAAAAGAATTAAAATTAAATTGATTAGATCTTGTCATTTGATTAATGATTATAATCTTTCAATGCTATTAACTCATCTTGAACTGTTAAATAGTCATGCCCCGACCTTGAAAGTTTCAAAATTCAAGGCTGAATTCTAAATCCAATTACCTAAATAGAAAAAACTTTATAGGAGGTGAAAGTGTAAGTGAAAGGTTTCAGATTCAAAACCTCCCATTCACCTAAAAAAAAAAAAAGAAAAGACTTTATAATTACTCCTTGAGCAAATTTATGTCCCAAGACCTCCCACTTATAAAAAAAATAGAAAAGGCTTTATAATTACTCCTTGAGCAAATTTACTTTCTAATAACCAAATTACTAAAGGAGTTTAAAGTATATCAGGATGATCCTGATTTAGAGTTTTTTAGACACCCAATAACTAATTATCACCTAAACTTCCTTAAGTATTCCATTGTAATAACAATTTGCCTACACTCACACAATCTTCACATTTGCTATTCCTTTTTTTTTTGTTTAAAGTAATTTACACAATTTTTGCCATTTAATTTTTTTCATTTTCTTTATTTGTTCAAAAGAAAATACTCCTTTATTGGACTTATCCTTTACTATTGTTTTTAAATGTAATTTAGGCAACTTTTTCCTTTTTCTTTAAGCAAAAAAACACCATTCTTATGATTGTATAAATGTGATGCTATCCCACCTATCAATGATTAAGGGAAAATGGAAAAGGATAGTTGGTGCATTTACACAATTCACATTTAAAATATGAACTTTTTCAAACGAGTAATTATATCAGTGAATTAATCACAAATAACCAAGAAATCATGACATTTTAAAAGTATATAAAATTCTTACAAATCGCAAATGCATAGATGAAATTCAGAGTATGTAAATTGAGATTAAAAATATACAAAATTATCAACCCAAAATTATACAAGTCATTGCCTTAGTAAGTGTGTCAGAGAGAGTGGTAGATCAACAAATTGTTTGTTGTTCTTTGTCTAGGGTTTTTCTTTCCTTCATTCACTCTTTCTTTTTTTGGGTAATGAAAAGCTAGGAAATTGTGCTGTTCTGATTGCCGGAAAAAAAATTAGGCGCTTTAAGAAGTGCTCCCTATCTCATTAGTTCTTTTTTTTTTTCACTTTTGTGCAGTTGATGGTGTTGTAGTGTAAGAATGGAACACTTAAAGGAAGTTTAGATGGCAATGAGTAATTCGGTGTCGGAAAAGTTCCAAACTAAGATGATCCTGTATACTTTAAACTTTTGCAAGAGATATCTAAATTACAAAAAAAAAAAAAAAAACTAAACGATAGCTCCAAATGAATTTTCTTTTTTACTTAACATAGGTAAAATTTCAAAATAAATCACTTAAGCAAGTCCACAACCTAATGGCGCAGATTCATCCAATTCTCAAAGATTTAAAACTTAAAAGCGTAAAATATCGAAAAGTCCCATGAGATTAAGAGAACTTACAGAAAAACTCCCTATAGTTTCTAAACATATATTCCGGTACCTCATGGTTTGAACTAATTTAAAAAGTGACAAAAATTGTCTGAATTGACAAGTTTGAAATACATGTGCTTCTTTTGCAAGTGTTTGTATTAAAAACAAATAAATTTTCAGTTGATCTCTATTATACCTTAGAGTTATAATACAAAAAAGCCCCTTATGATTAAACAAATCTATAGAAAAGTCCGTTATGATTTCAAATCATACAATCCAATATCTCATGATTTGAACTAATGTGAAAAATTAACAAAAATCATCTAAATTAACAAGTTTTAGGTTGGTTGACGTGGAAAATAATTTTTTAAATCAAATTTTTAGCTGATATACCTATTAAAACCCTTAGAACTCATAAAATTTTCAAAAAAAAAAAATCCAAAATCTCCCAAATGCAACTCACCTTATTTCTATACATAAAACAAATACATAAAATTTTTTAAATAAAATTCACCTTATTTCTATACACAAGATAAATAAATAAGAACTTCCAAATACAACTTATCTTATTCCTATGCACAAAATAAACAAATAAAAGTAACATGTAATTGCAGACACCAAAATTTTATCATTTTATTTTCTTCATTTTGTTCCTATTTTTGTTCATTTTAGTTAATTTTTATTTATTTTGTTTCATTTTCTATTTCTTGATAAAAATCACTCTTTTTAGAAAAATTGGGAAAAGAAAAGAAAAAAATCAATTAGAAAAAATCAATCAATCAAAAATCAAAAATCACTTTCGTTTCCTTTTAGAAAATTAGGTAGAAAAGAAAATTAGAAAGCAAGAAAAGCAAAGTAAAGAAAAATCATCAAAATCAGTTTTTTTGTTAAAAAAAAAAAAGATATGCAACCCACGCGCGCGTGTATGCCAAGCGTGCACAACTCTTCTTCTTCGTCTTGTGCCCGTAAACAGTACAAGATGCAGCTAGCATCTTTGGGAGCAAATTCTGGTTCTATTTTTCCTTTCTTTTTTTTCCAAGTTTTGCTGGTACAAGATGCCACCTCACCTTGTGAAATTTATCCGGAATGTCCTAGAACAAGAGCCATCAAATGGCTATAAAAAGGCAGCAAAATGAGGCTTCATTTTCATCCTTCAAAGCAGGGTTTTGGTGGCTCCATTTGATATAAATAGGGGGCTAAGTGTGACGGCCCCACCTCCCCCTAGAGCGTACCCCAAGGTTCGGCGGGTCGCCTGCCCAACTCTCGCCAGGACTCACTCACTCACATCAAACAAAACAGGGTGCAACCTCAATAATAAACGAAATAACAGTTCCCCAGTTTGGAACATACAAATACATCAAAAGATTGGAATTCTAAATACATTCAACCGTAATCGAGCGACTCGTGCGAGTACAATTACAAAATTCAAAAACTAGACTACTTTAGTCTGTACCGGTCTCACGCCTCGCTCGTACCCCTTGTAAGGAAAACAAATGGCGTGGAATGGGCTAAAAGCCCAGTGAGGTTCCAAATAGCAAATCGACCATTGTTTATAAGTACAAGTTTCAATGTAGCAAAGTAATGAGCATGAAAAGTTCATAAAAGTGAGCAATAACATTTCAAGTAGCAAATCTCAAAATGAGTGAGTGTAAAGTTTTTCTTTTAAAACGAAACAATAACACGATAAGTGCTAATCATTCCAAAGTATAAGGATACGGATGGCTCTTAGGAGCCAAATTCCCAGTGCATTACCAGAGCTTGATCAAGTAATAGTTGACACTCCGTCAACTTTCAAATAAATAACCAATCCAGTAGAGCACCACTTAAAATACTCTCTGTCCACCATCCAAACCCCCTAGTGGGCCCAAAATCCTCAATAAACACTGGTGGTAATACTCGAGTATACCGATTAGTCGAGGAGATAACACTCCACTCGACAACACTAGATACCCATGGTTCGTTATCTAATCGACCAAACCCTTGCCGGCTCGACTCGATTAACTAGCCAGTGGGGTTTGGATCCCCAAGAAGTCGATGAGATATCATCTCCAATCGACTAAATCAAAATAAAAGTATGGAGACGGGAATGAGAGGCACCTCCCACTCACATTGAGTGTGGTACATGCTGCCGCTCAGCACTTACAAGTCAAGTACAAGTATATCAAGTCAATTGCAACAATAAACAAGTATATATCATATTAGGGCAAGTGCGATAAAGTACACTCTTACCCGATCAAATAAATTACATATCATTAAATCACATTGGTCAAGTATTGAAAACAAGTGTCTAGTTCAATCAGGTATTTGGAAGCATTCACCAAAAGTCTAGTGCCTCTCAAAGTCACGTTCAGGTCCAACTCCTTGGTTGGAGTTCAAATCTGCGATAAAATATCATTTGCGAATGTAAAATTCTCTAGAGTACGAAACATAGGAGTTTCACTTCAAGAAAATAAAGTAAATGCAACTCGTTTAAGTAGTATTCAAGATACTTATTAAATTTCGAAAAATTCATGCTCACTCTTAAAACTTTGACTCTTAAAACTTTGAAACTTTGAAGCAATTATACTAATACCATTGGAGTCGAAGAAATGGAGAAAACATATTTCTATTAGTCATAAATTTTATTTTTCCAAGGGTACAAGTTTCGGTCGAATTCTAACTTATATACCTCGATAAAAGAAGACGCAAATATCCTAGATAGTTCAAATGGTATTCGTCCTCAAATCCTTACCTAGTCCTTGAGTGCAAATTTGGGCAGCACACCCTTTATATTTACCTCTTTTTCCAGCTATTTATGGTTTCATTCTTTTCCTCAATCAGTCCCAAAGTTGCCCACAGATAATCTCATTACAATAGCCCTTCAATAGGATCAATGTCATACAATTACAGACCAAGCTAGAAAAGTGACCGGAAATAAGGCTTGAGACATAGAACAAAAAGACAGGTTCGACGTCTCTTAGCGTATCGGTCACAACCAAAGCTACGCTTATCGGATTGGGGTAAAATTTAAACTGTTTCGAAGCTAAGCCAAAGGGTTACAACTTTGATGAAGACAACTAAACCCAGTTCATAGTTTCTCTAGGTCAAATTTACATATTACAGAACCAGAATTTCACGATCAGGCTGGTTAACAGCATTGTGTTCAAATGACAATAACTCAGGCTACA